TTCTCTGCCTTGGACAGTGCCCGGCTTGCGTAAGCGATCACCCTCTCTGCTCCGTCTTGTCTTTGGACGAGTACCGCGCCTAGTCCGGCGTTGCTGGCGTCCGTGTGAACTTCCGTTTCCGCTGATGGATCGAAGTGTCCGAGAATGGGGGGAGACTGGAGTCTTTCCTTCAGTTCGTTGAACGCCTGTTCTTGCTCCTCCCCCCACTGGAAGTTCACGTCGTCCTTCGTCAGATGTGTGAGCGGTGCAGAAATCTTAGCGAAATCGCGAACGAAACGCCTGTAGTATGCGCACAGCCCAAGAAATCTTCGCACGGCCTTCTTGTCTGATGGCTTCGGAAATTCGGCGACAGCGGATGTCTTTGAAGGGTCAGGACTTACACCTTGAGCACTCACGACATGGCCCAGGAATTTGAGCTCGCCGTAAGCGAACCGACATTTTGACGGCTTCAGTGTCAGTCCGGCATTCTGGATAGCCTGTAGCACGGCTCGCAGGCGTCTCAGGTGCTCGTCGAAGTTGGTGGCGAATACCACGACGTCGTCGAGATAGACGAGACAACTTTGCCACTTCAAGCCGGAAAGAACGGTGTCCATTACGCGCTGGAACGTCGCCGGTGCTGTGCATAGTCCGAACGGCATAACTTTAAATTCGTACAGCCCGTCCGGCGTGACGAAGGCGGTCTTTTCACGATCTTGTTCGTCCACCTCGATCTGCCAGTACCCACTCTTCAGGTCCATCGACGAAAAGTATCGGGCGTGGCGCAGCCGGTCCAGGGTGTCGTCGATGCGTGGCAGCGGGTAGACGTCCTTTTTTTGTTACGGCGTTAAGTCGGCGATAGTCCACGCAGAACCGAAGGGTCCCGTCTTTCTTTTTCACCAGGACTACCGGTGAAGCCCACGGACTCCTTGAGGGCTGAACAATGTCGTCATCGAGCATTTCTTGGACCTGCTTCTGGATGACTTCTCTCTCTTTGACAGAGACACGGTACGGCGACCGATGAACAGGAAGCGCGTTGTCTTCAGTGACAATTCGGTGTTTCGCAACGGTCGTTTGGCGCACCTTTGACGACGTGGAGAAGCACTCGTTGAACTCGACGAGTAGGTCACTGAGTTGTCGTCGTTGTGGGGTAGGCAGGGTTGGATCGATGTCAAACTGCAAAGGCGGCGTTGTCTTGGGTGGCCACGAGGAGAGGTCTTCTGATATTCCGGCGATTGCGGCTGAGTCCGGGAGTTCCTCCGCGTGACCCACGGCGGTGCCTCTTGTAAGGTGCTGGGCCTCCTGTCGGAAGTTCGTTACGAGTGCGACAGTGTGTCCGTCTTGGAGCTCCGTGACGCCTCTTGCGATGCCGATCCCTCTTCCTAGGAGCAACTGGAGGCTTCCTTCGAGCAAAACATCGCCGCAGAAAGTCTCATCGACCCCGACGGGTACGAAAACACTTGACCGCGGTGGTAGGTTCACGTGGTTTGCGAGGACTCGTACCCCGGATGACGTCGCTTTGGGGTCCTCCTGCGGTGGAGCAGGTTTTCGTAGCGTCAGCCGGTTTGCTCCGAGGTCGATGACGGCGCCATACTCGCAGAGAAAGTCCATTCCGAGGATAATGTCCCTCGAACAGTCTTGCAGAACGACAAACTTGACAGGGCACGTCTCACCGTGGATCTCGACGCGAGCAGTGCATCTCCCAACCGGCGTGATGAGGTGCCCTCCGGCGGTTCGTATTTGAGGTCCATCCCACGGCGTCGTGACTTTTCGAAGACGGCGGGAGAGCCTCCCACTCAAGACTGAGTAGTCTGCTCCGGTGTCCACGAGTGCTGATGCGTCGTGGCCGTCGATAACAACGTTTAGGTTGTTGGACACCGATGCAGAAGCTTCGTTGCGATGCGTGGCGTCAGGAGAGTGGGAGCGCTCCGTCGTTCTTGGAGGCTCTTTACGTCGGTCGTCTTCGGCAACTCCACCTCCAGGGGTTGCCGCGCCTAGTTTCCCCGGCGAGGAGCGAGGGGTGACAGGCTTTCACGTCGGGGTCGGTGCATCGGCGAAGCCGGACGTCGTGGCGATGGCGACCGGAACTCTCGGCGGGAGGCAGGCTCGGGGGACTGAGGTCGTCGAAGGTACTCGTCGATCTCCCGAGGGCGTTCACCGTAACGGGGGCGTGGGTCATTCGGGTGGAATCCGCGCAGCCCGAGTCGTCGGTATGGGCATTGGCGGTAGGTGTGGTTCGCTTCCCCGCAGTGGAAACACAAAGGACGTCGGTCGGGTGTTCGCCACACGTCGGTCTTCCGAGGTGCGCGGGGCTCCTGGCCGGCATACTGGACCTGGTCGTCGCGGTGGCGGTCGTGCTGCGGCGCAGGAGATCGACGTCGGGGCGGAGCGACATAGGCTCGAGGAGGAGGTGGTGGCCTTCGGGCCACTGCGGCGTAGGTCAGGCTGGGCTCCTCGGGTGCCGCTGCGATGACAGGAGTCTCCGCCCGGAAGGCTCGGTGGACCTCCTCTCGTACGACTTCGGCGAGTGAGAGAGAAGACGGGCTATCTGCAGCAGGTAGGATCTTGCGGAGCTCTTCCCGGACGATATCCCGGACGATCTCCCGGAGGTTGTCGACACCGTTGGTATTCGGGTCCAGTAGGGAAGCTGTGACGGTTGGAGAAGTAGGCGCGCCGGCGAGTCGGTGGTAGTGGCTTGCTCGGGCCGTCAGTGCGCGCTCAATGTTGGTGGCTTCGCTGACAAAAGCATCGACGGTCGTCGGGGGATTCCGAACCAGGCCTCCGAAAATTTCTGCCTTGACGCCTCGCATGAGGATTCGAAGTTTCTTTTCCTCTGTGGCCTCCGGGTCGGCTCGGGCGCTTAAACGCAGGACATCCTCCACGAAGGCGGTGATGCTCTCGTTGGGCCCTTGAGTCCTGGTACGCAGTAAGTCTTCGGCTCTCTCTCGGCGATGCTGGTTGACGAATGTCGCCTTCAGCTGGCTCTTGAAAATGTCCCAGGATGTCAACGAAGACTCGTGATTTTCGTACCAGCTTCTGGCAGTCCCCTCGAGCGAGAAATACACGTTTTGCAGCCGTTGCTCGTTGGTCCAGCTATTGTGGCGGGCGACGCGTTCGAATTGGTCGATCCAATCTTCAACGTCTTCGTGGAGTTCACCGTGGAACGGAGCCGGTGTCCGAGGAGCGACGGGTAGGTAGACGACGGCAGGAGCGGCGGGGGTCTGCGACTGGTTGGCCATCGTCGGCTGCCTCGTCCTGGGTGGTAGGAGTCCGTATTCCGGGTTTAGCCCTTGGGTGCGGCGACTTGATCGAGTCTCGATCTGGTCTTCGTTGGGTCCTCGGGAGCTTGGATTCGGACTTGTACTCCGTGAACTCGGAGGGCTGCGCTGCACGTACATGCGGTACCCCGCACCTCCACCAAAATGTCACGGGTGGTGACCAGAATAACAATAAATAAACAGGAAGAACTAAACGTTTAATGTGGCGAACTTGTGCCAAAACAAAAAGAGAATAGAAAATGATAACAAAGCGTCGCGAGCGTCGAGGTCGGCGAGACAGCAGAGTCGAGCGCTGGGACGAAACTGACTCGACAAAGTCGCTGGCGGCCTCTTATCTAGAGTGAGCGCTATCTCGAAGTTTCGGCGGAGAAGGTTCGAGGGTAGCGTGCTCGGGGCGAGAATGAACATGCACATTCTGGAAAAACAAGAGCAGGGATAAACGATAGAAGTTATGTCAGTAGTAAGAATAAACGAGAACCTTCTACAAGTCCGTGACCTTGCGCGCGGCAATATTTCTATAAGAAATGTGGTTTATATAGGCTGCGGGACTGCATCTCCAACTATAAATCATTGCAAGAGGCCATAAATATTTGACACAGGCAAAAAAGCAGCCTCTGCAAGGACGCTCCAAATAGGTGTGATGTCGCTTCTCTGCAATGAAACCGAAGTTCTCTTGAGACGTGATGATAGAAATTGGATACCATTTTTATTGTCTGCACTCAATATACTTTGGCTGAAAGAAAGCCCATAGAAACTCTATTGGTAATCGCCAATACGACGTGACTGGATAAAAAGTTGAAAGGGTCGTTAAAATGTGGATATATTTTTCTAGATTGCCTGAAACAGTTTTTGTAAAGGAATCGCTAGGTGGCGTAAGCCGCCGCCCGATTTACAGAGTTCAACCTTATGCATTTATCCATTCATCTATCCGTGAATGGTTATTTTCTAATCAACGCCCTACCCCAATATCAAAAGTGTAGTGTATATTCTTTAACCAGTTTTACGCTCCAATAAGCAAGCTAATGCTACGGCTGGAGCTACCCTATTAACGACCTTCTTCTTAGTTAACTTTTCTTTTTAAGTGTTTCTCTTTTTATATATCTAAATGCTATCAACTTCGGTAGGAATTATTGCAGGAGTCATATGATAATATATATGTATCAGTAGCATCAAGAGTCGTGGTGATATGAATAGTGTCCTTTTTGCGTTATATATTACACCGATCAATCATAGTATAAATGAAATTTCTTCGCAATAAATAGGCCAACTAGATGTACTCGAGGCTAGAAATGAAAAATGCTGAGCAAGATATAGACCAACGCACTGTTTACAAACAATACCGCAGTCCCCACACCTGGTGTGGGCAGTGCCCTTGCGCAGAAACATGATTCGCGAGAGATGACGTATCTGCGCATGCGCAGTGACGACAGCAGCGCCACCCCTGTGGAGCGACGTTAGAGCATGGCGGTAGGAAGATTCTAGAGGCGACATGACGTCACCAGGGGTCAAGCCAGAAGTGTGGAGGGACACGCCCCCAACGATGACCAAAACCACGAGACGCTATTGGAGGAAAAAGAGATTCCTTTCTCCTTTTCCTCCAATAGCGTCTCTTGGTTCTGGTCGTCTTGACCATCATTGGAGGCGTGAAGTACCTCCACACTTCTGGCTTGACCTCTGGTGGCGCCATGTCTTCTCCCAGAAGCAATTCCTACCTCCATCCGTTAGAGTTGAGTTGCTGTATACGCAATGACATTGTGGAAATACGTTGAGGGTAAATCTGATTGCGCAATTTTCGGTGGGCGATTGGTTTTGTTTGTAGCTTTGGAAAGTGATAAACAATTAAGCATGGCGGTTTTATGTTAGAATGGTAAAATTATTTTACGATGGGCTTTATTTTTTTAAGGCTTTGATATGTAAAACTTTATGTTAGTTTATTGTTTTAAACGCTTGAAAATGGCGACATATAAACAAAACGAGAATTACAGCTCAAAATTCATTTCCAGCGTACAAAAGCGGCACCGAAAATCTCGGCGCCTCTTATCCCGCCTGGGTACTTCCAACTTAATTTTTAGTAAAATGCTGCAGATGACGAAGGAATATTTAAACATTCAGCTGTTTCAAAAGTAGTTTTTAACGCATCTTAGGAATATTTGTAAAACTTTCGGTTACGGCTATTGCAACCGTACAACACCGCTTATATAAAAACAGAAAGATTGGAGCTCACAAAAAAACAGGACTAGTTTATCATCCGCGCCATCAAAAAGCACAGAAGCTACAAAAACGCGCGCACGCGTTTCCCAATATTCAAAGTTTGAAATTGATGTTCAGATATCGTTTCCATTTCAGTAAAAAAATCCAGAAACAGCGAGGATGCTTGATCTTTCTGGCAAAAAGAAACTGACGTGCACGTAACGTGAGATGGATTATGTTTATTTTTTTGTTTACCACCGTTTCTGCTAAACTAGAAAAAAAAAAAACAGAGCTGAAAAAATTATAAAAAGTAGAGTTTGAAAAATGAGCCTACTACTTCATCATCTACGCTATCGAGTAGCCCAGCAACTTCAAAACTGCACATACGCATTTCCCAACGTTCATATTTTGAAGGTTATGTCTAGGTATCGTTCCCACTCGGATGGAAAACTACCAGAAACTACGACAGTGTTTCATCTTTCTGATAAACATTGAGGTGCCCATAACGTGACGTGAAATATTTGTATTTTCCATTTATCCGCTTTACCGCTCAATTTAGCGGGGAAATTGAACTGATACCAATTCAGGTTTTTCCGCAAAATTCAGTGGCGAAATTGCGTGTTACAATTTTTCGTTACACTTTCTGGTATTTTTTTTTTAATGTAGCCCCAAATTTTAGTGTAAAATCATTCGATTTCCATGCGTGCTAAATAACTAAATAATAAAAAAATAGGGTTATTAAAAAAATTATGATGACTTGTTATACAACATTAACACCAGTACGATTGCGGTTAAGTCGTGAGGATGATTGAACTAAAAAATACTGACCGTGCTCAGTGTTAGTCAAGCTCATGCTAATTATTTTTTTCTTTGTCTTCTAGAGAGCCAGTGGGCTAAACCTCCCCGGACTTTGACCTTGGGAGGCAAGTTCCCCAAGAAGAACAAGCCGTCTGCGCCGGTTCCCCAGCAACCCCACGGTTACCTGGGTCCTGGAGACTTCTGGCCCTTCTCCGGCCACGTGGCGCCGGCCTTCGACGCTGCCACCCCCAGGAACGTGACGACACAGCTGGGACAGACGGTCTATCTCAACTGCATCGTGAACAGTCTCGGCGACAAGACCGTGAGCTCGCCCGATTTATAGTTTTGTTTGTGTAACCTCTGGCTAGAGTTTCTAGAACGCGTCTGTTAACGCGTCTGCTAACGCGTCTGTTAACGCGTCTGTTAACGCGTCTGCTAACATGAGCGAAGAACGCGGTTTGGCCTGCCGCGAAGCGCAATACCCAGACTCAAATAAAACAAGAAAACACGTCGTCTACGAACAGACGGTAGAGGGAGGGAATCGTCTGCTACTAACCGATAAGCTGCGGAGAGACATCGGACGCCGGCTGGAATTGTGACCGTCTGCTATTTAACGTCAGAAGCCATTGACAACCCGTGCTTCTTTTACAAATCTTAAGTTTTTCTGCTGCCGTACGCAAGCTGGCATCGACCTGCGGATGAAGGAGTAATAAGGACAAGCACATAGGAAGCCCTGAGACCTTTCTCGCTATTTGACTGCTGGTTAGAAGCTTTCACAAAACTGTTGCCCGATTGTGAACTCGCGAACGGTTCACGTATGTCTCACTGGTTACTTACCCGCAAGCTGTTACGCCACGTCCAATCAGCAGCCGAAAACGCTCTTACTCTCACCTTGGTGAAAATTGGACCCCTGGTGTACCTATTGTCACTGACAAGACGAGAAGTGCGGGGCGTCCTGCTCCGATGCTCGCTCATAAAGTTATTATAATGTAAGCTAGAGGTTCAGCTGGCATTAGTGCCTACGCGGCATCTGATATGTAAATTAAAGCAGACAGCAACCAGCCTGCTTTTGCCGTGCTGTTGTGTATTGCTATGGAAAAACGCGCCTGCATTTGTTTTTGTCGGAAAATACAGCGATTACTTTTGTTGCTCGGGTCGTAGCAAATACCATGTACTTTTATTAACATCCTAAAAGTGTAATTGATTCAGTTACAGCAGCTTTCCCTATCAGTGAACGATGTTAAAGGGGCACTGACAGGGTATTTAAGCTCGCCGAAGTTTTTATTTGAACATGACCAATAAGAACACAACTACCCAGAACACAATTTCCGGCTCGAAATTCGTTTTCTTTCCGCCCGAAAACTGCCGGTCGAGAATTAGCCATTTTCAGGCGCGCTCACCCTCTTTTCATGGTCAAGTGACGTTCAAACTATAGCGTACCAAATATCATAGTAGTGGGTAATCCAAGGCACACATTCAATATAAAAAACACCATTTTTATGGCTTTCAAAGAACTGGAAGTATGTTGATTGGAAAGAAAAAATTATGTGCGCAGATCACATGATGTACATGTACTATGTCATTCTCAAAATGGTAGCGTTCCGCGGGCTGGACGATGCGATGGCGGAGCACGACGGAGCAATGTTGTGACGGACATAAGATTGCTACTCGTGGTGCCGACCAATCGGTCGTCAGGTGCAGGACAAAGAGCTGGAGCGATATAAGTGCGAACCAATCGCACGAGAAAAGTTGCAGGGAACTTCACCTTCGTCGTCCGCTGCTTCACACGCCAGAGACGCGGAGAAACGGAAAGAAATGGGAGGGAGTGACTGGCACGTGACTTCCGGCAACTTCTTTTTCCTTCACCCCCTCCCCCTTTCTCGGTACGAGCAGTCGGCCGTGAATCTTTGTGCTCATGTTTCGGTTTCGGTTTCATAGCCGTGAGTCTTCTTTATTTATTAAAAATGTACGTGACCCCGCTGCAAAATGCTGATTGAGCAGGGTCCTGACATCATAAAAAAACACCTAACAAAAAAAGGAAAACAAAATGGACCTGTTGGTGTCTTTTTAAATTCCTCTATATTTTGGGCCCACATCTGTGTTCCGCAGCGGGTGTGTAAATACAGGCGACCAATCAAAGAAAAATAACTATTGAAAGGAATGTAGAATGTGTTCATGCTTAGTCAGCTTTGCGATGACGCTGCTATATAGCTAATATGTCAGTCTTGACGCTATATAAAAATGATACCTTCGTACAACTTTTGCGAGCGGTTTAAAACGATCAAAACGTAATTAATAAAGTACTCAGGCTGTGGAAGGTGTACCTTTTGTATTAATGTCTATGTCGAGCAGTTTTTATCGGGCATTTCATTTTATACCTAGTTTCAAGAATTTTGACCGTTTGGACGATGTTTTGAGCATTAGAACAAGGTATCTCGTAAAGGCATGAGCGAGGAAAATAAAACAAAACTTATTTATTCCAAATTGTACTACAATTACTTGGCATTCCCATTATTTCGATCCTCTACATAAACAGGGGGCTGCTCATCTAGTGTTACCGCGTAGTACGCCGTTTCTGATTTCTCAAGCGTCCTTCGCTGCTTAATATGGCTCGTCGACGACACGGGATCCTAAAATAAAACGTTTATAATCATTGCTTGGAACTATCGAAGGCAGCTCACTTCGGCTTAAAGGTGTTTATAAACGTTTTATTTGAGGATCCCGTGTCGACGAGTGTGTCTTCTGTCGAGAACTGCAAAGATCAAAGTCGAGGTGTGCCTATTGCCGGAGCGAGTCGATCAATGATTCAATGATTCGAAATTGATGCGCGAGTATGTTTCAACTTTCAGCAACAGAAATTTAAGGTTTCTTTCCAGCTACATTATGCACTAATTTTGAAAATAAGAATCTAGTCGCGTGGTGACGGTCAAGATATGTTTACGGCTCTCTTGCATCTCGCAGGAGATTGCGATTCAGGAAATCCGATAGAACTAACTTTTCTGAACTTTCCAGCGACACCCGGTGGCGAAAATTAGCCTTGAACTAAGTGTTGTAGCTCATAAAATTGAGTCAGTGTCATCACTTCGAAGTATCAATATTAATATAATTTCAGTTACAAAAAGTTTCAAGCTCAAACAGCAATTACCACGAGAAACCTTGCACGCACCTTGCGAGCCTACCGCATGTTTATCGATGGTATACAGCATTCGGTGCGCGCTTCATTCACAAAATATTCTGAGCGCAGTCAAGAGGATGGCGTTATAGAAAAGTATTTTCGGTTTGTGGACGCAACCCACTGAAGCCGGAGATCGGGGTCATGTGGAAAGCGATGGAGATTGCAGCCGCACTTGCCGGGTTCCGTGCAAGCTACATAGGTTCTCGGAAAGTGTTCGACGCTTTCTGTCGTTATTCGTGCACCCTATAACCAAGCAATTATGTCCCGATGCCCGGGGGATTGTCATCATCCAAGCCCGTGGCTCTGATTAAGTTTGGGAGTTTCAAACAGAGAAGAAAGCGCGAATGAAGTTCGGGCAATACATACACCCAACACCGGCCAAGCCTCTCATCCGGGATTTTCACTCTTTCTACCACTCCAGCAAGGGGTGAGCGGCGGTAGCCCTTTCCCCTTTTTTATATCGCCCTCTTTCAGTAAAACGGTCTGTAGCAGCTTCCCAACTCTGTATTCCACTAACCTTGGCGCCAGCTGAACGTCTAACGGACGTGAGAATAGCTCTCCATCCTCTTCCTTGAGCACGCGCTCGCTTTCAAAGAAACTTTGCAGCAGCACTTTGGTCCTGCCCACGATGGCATAGAACGTGTCTTCGACCGGTCTGTTTAGCGTCCTTTTCCGCCCACGCATCGAAAGCCCTGAAGAGGCAACCAATGCCATAATAAAAATTAGAGGGTGTTTTCGGATAAGATCGAACAGCCATGTTCGGTGACCGTTTTTCAATTCTGAAGAAAAAAAACATTTTTGGTGGATCCATGTCCAGAATAATAAAACCAATTTTTGTCTTGGAAAAAAAAAATTTCCTTTGCGAAAAAAAAAATCGTGAGCACCCTTTCAGTCACGTGCGCGTTTTGCGTACCTCACAATGTTGGCATTTCGGGCGGCTTCCCTCCAAAAAAAACTATTCTGGCTACGGATTCCGAAATATGTACTGACAAATTAGGCATAGGACGGGTTGAGAAAAGGTATTAATCACCGACTATTAGGGTCGTTCTTTTGAGAAACAAAAGCGCGAACATGGCATATTGCGCAATGACGCTCTGGTTTAAATATTTTTTTTCTCCGTATCTATAAAAGGTAAGGTCTTCCAACTTTGCCTATATGTTGCCCTGTATATAGTTTATTTATGAATGAAATGTTGTTCTTTTGGTTAGCGGGAGAAATTTACAAGAATTGTTCATACAGGGGAATTTAACTAAATGTGTAGAATTTTGAAAATCATTTTTAAACAAAAAGACCATCTTTAATATTCTTTTAACTCTCCGAAATTAACGCATACAATATGTACTACAGAGTTTGCAAAATCATGATGCAATATTTGTGTGGCTTTGAAGTTATAAAGCGATAAATATGGGCAAATTGACGCTAACGCGGTTGCCATAAATGAGGCGTACCACATACCCGTTCTTCACTGTTTTATTAATATTAAAAATCGTACAAATGCGACGGAATGGCCAGGAAAAAATAAATTGACAGCACAGAGGTGAGCGGTAGTTTCAAAGGGAAAATTGTAATACAATTTCGGAGACGCTACACGCCGGCTGTTGAAACAGGCAACGCGAAGCATGTTACGATGTGGCGCCTCCAATCGCTGCGGCCCATGAACATTTTTGGGTTGGTTGTACGAAAATGTAGTATGGGTTTTCCCTTCAAAACTATCATCCACCTCTGTGCTCTCAATTTGTCTTTTCCTGACCACCCCGTAGCATTTTTACGTTTTTTAATCATAATGAAATTGTGAGAAACGGGTATGTGCACGCCCCATTTATGGCAAGTGCGTTAACATCAATTTGGTCATATTTCACGCTTTGTAATTTTGAAGTCAGACAAATATTGCAGTATCCTTTTTACATACTCCGTTAGTACATATTATAAGCGTTAATTTTGAAAAGTTTAAAGAATATTAGAGATTTTTTTTTATGATCTTCAAAATAATGCATATTTAGTTAAATGCACCTGCGTGAACAATTCGTGTAAATTTTTTCCGCTAACCAGAATAATATTTTATGCACAAATGAACTATATACAGGGAAAGAGACTGGCAAAGTTTGAAAACCTTAGCTATTTTAAATACGGAGAAAACAAAATTTAAT